TCGTATCCATGTATAAACTTTGCTTCATTACAGCCTTCTACTGACTGTTTTAGTAAATGAAGATGTGAGCAATAACGGACAAATTTTAGAATAAACCAGGATCATATCAAAATAACCCACAATAAGCAAAATCTGCAAATTAGCAGCTCTATGATTAAAACCCCTCACTCTGATAACTTTTCTCACCACCTGAACTGATGTCGGAAGATGTACGATCGCAGAGATTTGTTCAGAGATAAGTTCATTGTAGGTGTAAGAGCTGCTGCAGCTGTCAAAAGCGGTGCATACACTGTAAAATACAGCTGAAGAGGACACTGCCCTGAGGAGCAGGACGATTCAAGAATCACAGTGGTGTAAACAAACCACAATATTTTCTCCTGACTTTGAATAAAAATAGCTGTCATGTTATACTAGCCGTTATATGATGTTAGGATTTTGTTGGAGTGTACACGCTGCGAATAAGAATCTGTAAAAAAGCATGTATATTTTACATGCCAAAAACAGAGAGGAGCCACTGTATTTTCAAATTATTGCACATTACAGATTCATCTAGAAATGTATACATAAAAGGATATATGTTTAACCACATATATTTTTAAGTTTACATTTTTGTTAAATATAGAATTGTGCTAAACCTAATGTTGTGTTGTGTGCTCCTCATTCCAACTGTTCCAGAACTTGAGGTGCAACATTAAAATGTCCCCTCTGTGGGACGAATGACGGATCTCTTTATCATAAGCCATTTTCTTTTAATAAGAACATTAACATATATTTACATATTTGACATATATTTGCAACCCTAATGAGCGTTCCCTATTAGACTTCTGCTGGCTCCCAGGTAGGCCGGCAGTTTTATCCCATTGCATTTACTATTCAGAATACATTAAACTTTATTTTTGTGGTATTCAGAATAAATAAAAATGAAGGAATACATTTTCACAATCAGGATATTGCAAAACCTATATATTTTAAGCATCATATGTGAACCTGCAAAAAGACAATCTTTTAATCAATTAGTCAAATATATTTGTTTCAAAAGTGTGTACACATAAAAAAAACTAAAAAAAATACAAACAGGATACAGATATCCAGATAGTTTTCCATTCTCTCCACACACAGTAATGACAGAAGCCAGACCCGGAACATTCTGGCACATCTGTGTGTGTGTGTTGTATGTGTACAGTATGTGTATGATGTACAATATATACAATATAGTTAACAATTCAGTTTTGAGTTATGCTTGTTACATTTTTTGTTTTGTTTTGTATTGCTGATGTAAGCAATCTTCTTTGTAATCTGTTATTTTTATTCTATGATAAAGGACCCCCTTGAAAAAGAGATTTAAATAAACATCGAAGCCCTCAACCAACACCATCCATTCACTCGTTCATTACTTTCATTCCTTTGTACCGGTTTTTAGCTATAGGGCAAACCGGAGCACCTGGAGGAAACTTATAAAGACACAGGGAGAACATGCAAACTCCACACAGCAAGGCCTGGAGGTGGAATCGAACCCAGGGCCAATAATCCATCGATCAATCAACTTTAATTTGTAGAGCGTCTTTCCTTCACAAGGCAACACAAAATGTCTCACCACCCATATCACACCAGGCATAAATCATAAATATTAAAATCTACATAAACTTTAAAAAATAAGATTAAAAAATAAGATTAAAAACAAATAGCTATACCCGTTTCTGCAAGGATGTTGTTTTTTGAATATTTAGCACCGCCCCCCAACTCGCTCACAGGCTTCTCATTTCTCCTTCGCTCTCATCCTACGAAGCCATCTAGTTTTATTTGCGATCTGATACATATGCAAACATTAGCATGAGCACAACTTCTTGTAAGCTGTACAACAATCACTGATGAAATGGTACAAAAGCAACGCAGGTCTCTCCCATACACTGTAAGTTTCTCCAGAGGATACGATGTATGCTATGTTCACCCGGGCTTGGTTTCTTCTTTGATAATTTTTTTTGCTTTAGTTCCCTCTTCTCTTCCTCACTGTTGTGTCGTTTGGGCTGTTTGGCTGTGTCTGCAGTTACAGCAAGAGGAGTTATAGCCAATTCTGCTAACATGCTACTGTGTTTACTTGCGCTGTAGAAGCTAGAGGACGCAGCCTGTTCGTAACAGCGCCGCTCCTCGTTCTGTGACTGGAGGAGAACGAGCGACACGCCAAGTCTCTACTCAGCAGTTTTTACGGGCTCAATTTTTATGAACTCATTAGAAAATAAATCGGGTATAGCTTCTTTAAAAGCGCAGTATGTAAAAATCTGGCCAAAAGTTGTACTCCAACTTCTCCCACTCTCCCTGAGTCAGGTTGCCAGATATGCAAATGAATCCAGCTGGGACCATAATATCTGAATATGCCAGAGTTTTGTCGTCAACAAATCTATAACCAACACCTTTTTCACAAAGGCCCTGAAAGAAATCCTTGTTTTATTCCTTGTTTTGCCATTAATGATTTGAGAAATATAACGAGATCTTCTTTAATTCTGCGGCCACATGTTTCTAGTGAGATTAGCTCGGAGCAGTGAGTTCTGGCAACCCGGATTACGGACTTTCTGATTGTTCAAACACTGTTCAAAAATGAAAATAAAAACAAGATTTAGGGGCTGTAAAACTAATTTTGAACAACTGTTATATCAGTTAAATAAATATTCAAAAAAGAGCATGGTTTATTAATGCCTTTTGACATTAGGCCTATTTAGTGATGACTTGACATGAAAATCTAACATTGCTGTAAGATCACAAGAACCAATAAAAACATACAACAAAATCACACGAGTAATAAAAAAGATAAGACATTGAAATCAAGACATAGCCTCAGTGCATTAAAAAGAGTAAGGATAAAATCCTTCAGTTGTATGCACAGCCAAACAAAACTGTTTTTAACCTGGATTTGAAAACTACCAGAGTAGACGCCTCACACAAAATACTTTGAGAAGGGATTAGACAAACCCAACACTTATTTGGCTGGTGTTTAGAGTTGAATCAGGTTTGATCATGGAGGTGAATACTGCAAAAGTCCACTTGAATCACTTATATTGATTCAAACAGCAGCTGCATCAGATTACATGCCTTTTATCTCTCTGTCAAGTCATCCCTCATGGCTCCACACACACACAAACCTTCACGACATGATTCCTCAGTCTGACATGACGTGTTCAGAGCCCCAGTGCCCGGATCACAGCTGGGCCTCTTCTGCTCCAGCGCCCTGGCCCATGTCCCCGCTCTGCAGATGTTTCAGCCATGGGGACATGAGCACTGAATTTGCACACACAATTTCTTCCCTGTCGTTTGCTTTGGAACAGCGCGTTTTGAAATGATAATAAATGTGTGTGCCAGGATCTCCCACACGGCCTCATGTCTGCTGTGGAAACACCGAAATAGAACACGGATAGCTCAAAAAAGTTAGTTTTTTTGTCCTTAATTCTGCTCAATGTCTGACACTGCTGAAGGCGAGACGGCGTATTTCCTAAATATACAATTATACACATATTAATCAGTGGTGGAAAGAACCAGATCTGAAAATATGAACTTTAAAAATATCAAAGTCTGTATTCAATTTCAAATGCAAGTCACTGCCAAAAACCTTAATAGACATTTTTCAGAAGTTTGTTTATAAGTTTTTAAAAGAGTATTTGAATTATACAATAAACATGCACTAAAAACATGACATTAAACCATAACTTTTGTTATTTTTGTATATATAAAGCCTCCTGTCATCATGCAGCACAGCCAGATGGCTCGGGCATCAGAAACTCAATGTCAGCTTTATCTGTATAGCACAGCTATAGAAAGCTGCAGAAAGAACAAAAAAATAAGAGCAAACAGCATAAAGTACACACAAATACATGTAAAAAGTAAAACTTGCTTGGTGTTTAAATCCAAGGCTTAAAAATGTCTTTTGTCGTGTATTTTACAGCACATGCTGATAGAAGAAGACACTTCTATTTTCTGTCATCCATGTATCAACATCTATGAAAGTATGAAATTCTATATTTAATCATGTAATGTTTCCATAAAATGTTTTTACACTAATCATCAAGTGTTTTTATAAAGTGTTCTTTTATTAATCATTGGGTGATTGCATTAAAGGCTTTTTTGTTTTACAGTATGTGCGAACCTGAGTTTAGTGAGGTCAGTGAAAATTCAAGTACAGGATTGTTTCTGTGATATAGTATTCTTTTCCCTCATCTCACCGGACAGGCGATGAAACCGGACAAGACCGCACCTAGACCAGACTCTCCGGTCTTACTAAAATGATGTCTTCGAAGGCACTTCCTCTTCTTCTACACATTTTCATAAAACTGTTTTGCACGAAATAGTGAGTCAGTCTGAGCCAGGGACAGAGAGGACTTCACAGATTTCCTGGGAGTCCTCTCTAGTTATAGCTCCGCTCATTGGGTTAGTTAGGGATATAAGAGCTCTGAGAGTTTTGTATTAGTATTTATTTGTAAAGAGAATCAAATATTGTTTACTTGAGCTCTCAATAGTCCTGGTCTTCTTTTCTAGTGAAATTCTAAATCACGCCCACAAAACCTTAGACCAGATTCAAGAAAATGTGCAAGGATAGGGAATGTAGAGCGTCTGCTTTTACTTTTGCTCCTGTGACCCGGCAAGAGCGAATACAAACCTTTCCACCGTTTACTCACACAGTAAACTCAAGGAGATAACATGGAAATCATGTTGTCAGCTTCATCATGATGTGAAATTCACTCCAATAATTCAAAAGCTGAGTCATTATCAGATGAATCATTTTGAGTCGTGATAACACTGGTTTATTTTGTTTATCTTTCATTTCCCTTATCAAACACATGTGACAGTGATAATGACCAAACAAATTCCTAGCCCATGCTCAGAAAGGTCATAAAGCTTCACTGTAATCACCTCCTAGAAAGGATTGGCCCCAAAGAAGGGGTTGGCCCCAGTCAGGTCAATATCCAGCATCGTAAAATGTCACCACAGTATTCTGACCACGAACTAAAGCAGAGATGACTGTGACAGGTGTACTATCGGAGGAGCTGAAGCCTGAAAGCCTGGCTCTCAGCCCCATGGGACCCTCACATGCCCAGCCCCTGTGTATCTTTGGGACGGGGGACCTGGGCCGTTCCCTGGGTCAGCGACTACTCCAGACCGGATACAGTGTGGTGTTTGGCAGCCGCAGACCGGACAGCTGTGGCCCCGTGCCCCAGGGCGCTCAGGTGAGACCACAGGAAGAGGATGGCACACTGTATATAGATTTAATCAAGGTATAAACTACAAGTTAATTTTTTTTTGGTTTTTTTGGACAAGTCATACTTCTTACTTTGAAGGGAGACAGATGAGAATATCACAGAACTGCTGTTGTGTCCTTAGCCAAGACACTTCATCTACATGGCCTTGATAAAAATATGTCTTTATACTTAATTAGAATTGAAAATATTGTTTATTCTAATTTCTGAAAATTGGCCTAAAACAAGTAATCAAATCAAATTATTTAGTGTGAAACTGCAGCTGGGATATTATCATACCGCAATGTAACCCAGGAATACCCATGCTGTTGTGTGCCCACCAATCATTTCAAACTGCACAACAGCCTGGAAACTCAGGCTGAAATGTTTGCATGTATTTGGGGACCAATCACAGAGCAGAGAGGGACGGCAAGACCATGATGACAGATGGAAGCTATAGTTTGGTTTCAGATCCACATGACGACGGCAGAGGCGAAGCTATCTTACCTCATCTTTATCTTGCACAAACTGTAGTTGTCATTTATTGATTGTGTAACCATCATTCATATTTTCCGAGTTTTCCATTCTTGTCGCATTCTTAACAGGTTGATGTGAAATGATATGACTGGATATGAAAATGAATGGTTCGCTCCCAAGGTTTCTTACTTATTGCCTGTTACGCAGTAAAGGGCAGCAACAAAGCCCCTCCGTCTTAGCCAGTCCAGCTCAAGATAATTCGATTTCATACACAGACCCATTTATTATTTTTTCTTAAATGTATATGAAAAATGCATTTATTTATGGTATGCTAAAGGCAATAACACAAAACAAGGTTCATATTTGTTAGATTACCCAATTAATGATAGATAGCTGCAGCCATAGTTATAGCTATGCTGTTTTGAGAGCTTGAAGTGTTTGTTGCAACAGTGACATTTCCCCATGTTCTCGGTGTAACAGGTGATGACCCATGCAGATGCAGCCACCTCAGCCAACCTCATCTTCATATGTGTGCACAGAGACCACTACGACTTTCTGACCAACCTGGCTCCATATCTGCAAGGAAAGGTGAGACGAGAGTGAAAAAAGTCATTTGAAAAAGAAAGTATATCTAGTTTAAGCTGCAGGTATAAAAGATACAAAAAAGAGACAAACAAACAAAGCACGGAATTGGTCAGATCTTGTTTTCCTCTGTACAGACAGAAGCATGTGTGGACAAACCCTCCTCAGGAAAGTTACAATGAGTACCTTTAAAGAGCATGTACTCCTTGACTGGTTTGCATATACCTTGAACCTTGAAAAATAAATACAAATTTCTTAAATTCTAATGCTTCATTCCTACAGTAACATCTTTGGAAACAGGGAAATGTCGGGAATGTAAAATCAAGATATTTTACAGCTTTAATATTGGGCTATTAAGGTCCTTCTCAAATGCTAAACTGTCCTCTGCTTGTTTTGGAAAGCCATTACAATTTTTGCAAGCTCAGACTAATGTTAATTAAACAATTATTTCTTATCCCATCTTGTGCAAATTGGTTGCTCTAATTATCTGATCGTTTTTCCCACTGGATTTTTTTAGTTTTTCTCATAGACGTAGGAGGGTCTAAGGACAGATATGATTTCGTACTGACTCATTTTTTTATTTATTTTTTGAAAATTCAAAATTTCTTAGACGTCCACTGCTGTTATGTATAACACAACACCTGCTACGTTTTAGTGTTATAGTGATATAATTTTCAGGGTAATGGGTGAATGAACAATGCAACATTTTAAAAGTCAGGAATATGCTTTTGATGTTAAACATTTTTTAAACATTTTCCCGTGTTACGGACATTTTGTTACGAGAATGGCAGTAAACCCGTAAAATATTTGTCTGTGAAATCACAGTTTTCTAAAGAACCTATAGTTTGCAATTTTGCTGGAGGGAAAAAAATAAAAATCTTTCCTGGTAGCTATGGTGATAAAAGTCAGCTTTCTAATCTTAGTTTGTAGCTTATTTATTATGTTTGTCATTTCTGGGCCAATCCAGAAATTCATCTAGTGAATATTTATTTGTAATACTGTAAAAGAAAGCTTTACTTGACCTACTCATTTGCAAATGTTATATATTTTTTCCATTTATATTATATTTTACAATGAGAATTTCAAAATAAAGCCTACACCACAATTAGAAAAACTGTCACAAAGTTCTTTGTCAACTATGGTCAAATCCTTTTCTCATATACTGTGGGTGTCTAGAAGTGATGACAGTATTCAAAAATGTGGCCAAAAGAAAGGACTTTGATACAGTACATAAGAACAATATAGCGCGTTTGTGAATCTCACTACAATGTAAATGTAACAACTATAAAATAATGATCTAAAAACATCTACACAATCAAGACATGTATTTTCTGTATAAAAACATACTTCTTACCCATTGAGTTGTATAGGGACCTGCCCTCTAACGGACAAAGAACTTGCTTGAATCGAGTGATTTCGATCTTAATTTGACTACATTCTAAATGCCTTAAAACAAGATGTCTAATTTCAAGAACTTGCTTTATTTTCTTTTTTACTAATCTTTTTAAAACAAGATATATTTGCTTCTCCCATTGGCAAATCTTGTTGTAAGGCAGTCAAAATGTGCTCAAATTACAAAACATTTTTGCCAGATTTGAGCCATTTTGACTTATTTTTCATCACTTTTTGCAGCGAACCTATTCTGAGTATCCATTGTGCGTCTTTTCTCTCTGAAGGTTCTGGTCGACCTCAGCAACAACCTGAAGAAAGGCCTTTATCCAGAAGCCAACGCTGAATATCTCCAGAGGTGAATTAACCCCCACCTTGCAATCACGCACCGCAAAACGCCACGAATACTTCTGGTATCTCGGCCTCCTTCTTTCAACAGCGTTATTTTATGAAAGTGCTGGTGAAAACGTTCTCATATTGTGCGGGAATAAAAGACGGAGCAAGGTTACGACTCCCTCGGTGGGACGTCATGCCGCGTGTCAATTCAGGCGCGGCGGAAAAACATTGATTTGCAGAGTTTTGTGGGTCTTGTGCAGCCGGCTTTGTGCTCCCAGTCAGTGAAGTCCGTACACTGTGTTCTGTACAGGCTGGTCCCCGGAGCCGCTGTGGTGAAAGGCCTGAACACGCTGTCTGCCTGGGCGCTACAAAACGGACTGTTGGCCGGGAAACAGGTGAGGAGAGAATGGAAGTGTCCAAGGTTTTTCACTGCGAACGCAAGCAGAGACAGTTTGACAGGCTGTAATTATGATTCAGCGTTTAACAAGGGCCTTTTTTTGCAAGTTAGTTATGTGGATTCTTTCCTTAAAGCAGCCATGTCCAAACCAAGGCCCGCGGGTTAAATGCAGCCGATTGTGTCATTGTATGTGGCCCCATGCTAACATAAATTGGCCATTGAGGCAATTTAATAGTGTCATCCAGCCAACTTCAGCTCCAGCATTATAGTCATGCTGTACCTTGTTATAAAACTCAGAGCCTTTGAAATTCAGCCATTAACTTCATCTGTATATAAAGACTTGTTTTTAAATGTGTCACAAAATTGCACTAGTGTCGCAGTTTTTTTAATCCGTTTTTTTAAATCAGTTTTAAAGCCCGGTCCTTCCCGAATCCAGTAAAAGCAGTATTATTGTCCGGGTTATCGGCCTTTGAACAAGTCTGATGAACTACAGTAAAGTGGCTCTCCTGATTTGGCTTTTATTACTTTTACCGATGTCACCACATTGTTCTTTCATGAAAAACAGACTTGTTGTAATAGACATGGAGTTGTTGTTGGATCCATCCACGCTAATATTAGAAACTTTTGATATGTGACTCCACCCCATTGTCTAAAAACTCCTGTCTCAGTCCTGTCATAATGTCATTGCACCACTATTACATCACATGCCTTTTAAAACAAAAGTATTGTCCGCTGTTAATTTTGGCAATTTTACTGGTGAAATTATGTTATTTACAATCACATGCTAGTGATTGAGGCCTGTAATTTTTGGATTTGAAAAAAAGTAAAAATCTATAGCTCCTTCTAGTGTTAGCATAGGGATAGGGAAGGCCAACAACACACCCCAGACATTATTTTAGATATACAGTAACAGCATCAGCATCATGGACACATTTTGTAATATATCTTTCTTAAATCAAAGGTAAGTGTTGCCCAAGAAGACCTAAGACTCACCAATAAATATCCCGTGATCCCTTTTTGGGTCCTACCCCACCTGTTGAGAACTACCGATCCAGATGATTGAATACAAATTAGCAAACACTGTGAGTAAACCTCTCCGATTTCTGCATCTCCTGGCTCCTGGTGCTTTTCCTCAAAAAACCTGCATCATTTAGGAATTTATAGCTCGGCTCCCTTTTATTGATCTTCATCTTTCCATAACAGTGGCAGTGAATAGGAGGCAGGCAGCGCTCATCTAAGCAAATAAACAAACACGCTCTCGTTTCAAAGTCAGAAAGACCAGTGCGCTGTGGCTTCCGATTTACAGCTACAAAGAGAAACTCCAACTCAAAACATGCAGGGGGCCCCCAGGAGACCAAACCTGGATCTGCCTTTGTCCTATTACACACACATGCGCGCTCATTCGTGTAACGGCGCTGCTCTAATTTTTCTGTGAAATCAACATAAAGTGGAATCTTCCTGTTATGTTAAGTGGCATACATATTTTCCAATGAATACGTGTCCAAATTGTTGGCCCAAATAGCCAAACGCAACAAGAACAAATCGATTAACCAGGAAAAAAGGTAATGATAATGACACATTCACAACATAGTCCACAGTAAGAGGGCAACTTTAGTAAACCAAACTTGTCCAGGTGCTGACAACCCAGATGGTGAAACTATTTTTTAACTGGGTTGTTCTGAGCGTTAAAATGAGGTATGACATCACTTCCATATTGACTCACATTTGATGGAGCTCTTTACAGCCACACCCGTTTTACCTGGTGTTCCCAAGACGTCTCCCTTCCCAGCACTAACCAGGCCCTGCCCTGCTTAGATTCTGAGGTCTAATGGGATTCGGCTTCCACATACAGGTGGCACCACATTAAACTTATACTTAACTTATTGAGGTGAATACCAATCTATATAGGGTCTAGAGCTAACAAATGTGAATTAATTTATTTGGCCAAAAACCAACTGATTGGCGAATCTCTGACCAATATATTAGTTACAAGATACAAGAATTTATTTGCCATTTGCACTTAAACCACATTGAAAAAACTGTGCAAGACTACCCCAGTGAGCAACAGTGTGTTAGTCTGACAAATATCGGCTTAACCATTTGGATTGGTAGTTTTTCCAAGCATTGTGTTTTCAGTGAGTAGCCTAATGAATTGGAAGTTTAGCTCCAACGTGTGCCTTCTGTCCTTGATGTTGACTTTGATTGGTGAGTAGCGTGAGCCCCCCCAAAGAGCCTGTCACTTGACCTGTCCACTTCTTCCAAGGTCACACTTACTGTTTTGGCTGAATGGACTCATGACTGATCTGCTTCAAAAGAAGTGAACTGACCGAAGTGACCAGTGTACAGTTGTTTGGTGCTTTCCGCAAATGAAGCACAGTTAGCTCCAAGTGCACCCGAGTTTATTTCCATTGGACCAAATTTGAAGTTTTAAAAGTAGTCACCTTGAACCACGTTTGAAGCATTATCGGTATACTTTGACTCATTTTCCAATCTTAACTTTAATTTGTGGTGCAGTAAGATTGTTGTCCGAGAGGTGGAGTGAGCTCATGGTAACACCTCCCTTAAGTCTTGGGCTTTTTCCATTGATGACAACAGTTGGGGCAAAAGAACAAAGCACAGACCAACTCCGGTTCAGGTGGAAGAATTACAGATGGTAGTCAACACAAATCTACGCTGAAAAGTTGGTCCCAGGTGACTACTTTTGAAACTTGCTCTGCTATAGATCACTCCTGGATGAATGAGGGATTACCTGTCCTAAATGCATTTAAATTCACTGTATTTTCCAACATCGACAGTGCCTCTCAAACTTCTCAAGATTTTCAGTCAGGGAACCCTAAAATATGGGTGGGGGAGGAGTGCCAAGCAAATGTATTGAAAACTGGTTACTTTAAGATCTCTACTGTATACCTTATTTCTCAATGACAAATGAGACGGGGGTCTGGGGTCGCGTACAGGCAGAGAAGACATTTTGTTCATGTTACAAAGAATCAACCAGAGTTTTACATCTTGCATGTGATTTTAAAGCATGGCAGGTGCATTGTTAGAGTTTTTCTTCTTCAAAGTTTTAAAAGAGATCCAAAGTAACACCTATGTTTTTGTTTCTTTTTGTCTGTAAAACATTATGGATACGCAGAATGCATACAGTATCTCCAATCATGAGACAATATGTTCCAGATAAGAATATTAATCAGTGCAGATGATTTTCCAAACTCAGTAGAATAGTATATTTATAGGAATGTTATGCGTTTGAAGCCGTGTTATCTCTGCTAGAACAATTTGTCTGTAAATTAGTAATGGTTGGATACCCTACATAATAATCATTACACACAATGTGAAATATATATGCAAATGAGTGCAGAAGTTTCCCATTGACTCTGCCATAGTAATCTTATATCATGATTCAAGGCAAAAAAGTGTTCCTGTGTGATTTATTAAAGTAAAAAAGACAAGCATAATGATTGTATAAAATGGGCATTTGTGCTGTGGCAATTTGGGATCAAACATATTGCAAAGATTGTATGATACAGATATTGATAGCGATACATGTATGGCTGAGTGAAAAAAAAAAAAAAAACACATATCTACCAATGTCAATTTTCCATTATATCTATAATTTTTTTTAAATCAAAACAAAACAACTGGTTTGACAATTAATCTGCTAAATTCTTCTGTCCATGAACTAAGGGCAGGACAGGAAAGAAAGGGGAGGGGTGAGAGGAAGACGAGTTTGGGGAGAGAAGAAAGGAGGACAAGAGACTGACAAGATCTTTTAATCAATCACTGACGTTGGTGACATCAGACCAATGCAAATCTAAAGCCTCCTATGCAAAAGGCGTCTATGTCTACAGAGGAACAAAGACTCTCTGTATTTTGTTACTGATCTGAACAATAGTCATTTTCCTTTAAAGCCGCAATGTTGAAACAAATCCTACATTTAGATCTTATGGACAAGTTTATCTTCTTTGCAGTCATACCCAGTGTTGGGTGTAACGCGTTACTAAGTAACGCGTTACTGTAACGAAATTACAATTTGAGTAACGTAGTAGTGTAACGCGTTATTATGAAAATACGTTTCATTATATTACAGTTACTACCTAAATACTTCGTTACCGGCGGCACCGGCCTCGGGAAAGCAGGGGAGAACTGCACTACCGCTCCATGCGTGCCTGCGTGCTTACGTCACGCTGCGCACATGAGCGAGATTGTTTGTAAAGCAACATGGCAGAGTCAGAGGAGAAGAGTTCTTTTTACCGGTGGAGATATGCACACTATTTCAACTACATCAGTCAAAAAGATAAAAACGTTGTCGTGGAGTGCAAGCTTTGCGCGGGCAGCAAACGATTGCCCCGTTCACATGCTCCGGGCTCTGCGCACTGTATTTTCCCTGATTTTTTTCTGTCAGGCGTGACGGCTGCTCGTGTGTGTCTGTGGGAACTAATTATTTTAAAATAGTCTCTTTCAATTGCAAGTTTTGTAATGTGTTTTCTTTGATCAATGGATAAAAATAAATGCTATATAATTTAAATGACACCTTGGCCTGTCTTATTATTACCCGTGTGCCTGCGTGACAGTTCCCTGAACTAACATATAACACTAATACTAAAATAGGGTGGCGTTGTTGAAACAATTAATCTACTTAGAAGTTATCCTAAATTACAACCAGCTAAAACTCGGTACCACGACAAACGAAAAAGAAACGCAATAGTTACTTTTACTGGTAACTAGTTACTTTTATAGTGCAGTAACTAAGTTAGTAACTTAATTACTTTTTGGGAGCAGTAACTAGTAACTGTAACTAATTACTTGTTCAAAGTAACTTACCCAACACTGGTCATACCCCTTTTGTCTCTTTTATCTCCAATGCTCAAGCCAGTGTCATTAGCAAAGGATCATTAGGGAGGTAGCTGATTGGAGTAAAACTAATTTATCCATACAAAAGATCCTACCTGATAAAAAAAAAATAAAAAAAAATCACATGTTTATTGTTATTGCCTTGTCTTACACTTAAAAATCAATTAACATTTTTTTTTTTTTTTTTTTTATAGAATTTTTATGTTTAGTTGAAATATAGCGGCAAAGTCACAAAGCGCTTTACAATCGTGGGCATTTGTCTCTCACTCCAAACAGGGGAGCGGGATCGCATGCAGGAGGCGTTTCAGACCTTTTTTACATGTTTTTAGCACCCAGAGGAAGCACCCAGAGGAACCTACGCAGACACGGAGAGAACATACAAACTCCACTCAAAAAGGCCCGGTTATGACCCGGATTCAACCCTGCGTTCTGCTTGCTGAGAAGCGAGAATGCTGTCCACTCAGCAATTGTAATTGTAATTCAACTGAAAATGTGAAACTATTATATGAAAAAGGCTCATTATATATATGCCACTCTTTTGTTTCTGAGTTGTTTTGTTTGTGGTTTGTACAGCTGTGAGACAATTATCAACATAATAACAAATAATGACTTTATATATCTCACTCTGCGTGTAATGACTTTATTGTAAATTAGTTTCACAGTTTAAGTTGAATTGCAGAAGTAAATGGTCTAGTATAACTCTGGAGTATATGGCTGGTGGTGGTCCGAGGGGCCGATGATCCATACATAACCTCGCCTCTGTCAGTCTTCCCCAGGGCAGCTGTGGCTACAAAAGTCGTTTATCACCACCGCTGTGTATGAAGTCAATGAATAATGCCATGTGAAACGTCTTTGAGTGTCCGAAAGAACCCTATGTAACCTATGCATTATTGATCATCTTCCCAACGGGGTCCGGGCTCCTGTCATTTACATTCAGATAGAGATTTAAAGCGTCTCCAGAGCAGTAATGTGCAGCGACATGGCCGGCTGCCTGCTTTACTCATACCCACCTGAGGGATAGTGCTCGATGCCTCTGACTCCATCTGTGTGAGGAAGTGGCCCCTTCATTTTGGCCCCTTTACAAACTACTTAATCGCCTTATCATAGAGACGTGAGCTTGTTAAAAAGGGTTAGTCGGCACTCTTAGATCCAGAAATGGGATTACATGGGTTATGTGCTCTGCTGAGACTGAAAATGAACTGTGTGTCCAGTCTGCAGTGCAAGAAATGGTCGGGATCATCCATCAAGAAAGATATAAAGCAAAAATAGCACCAATTCACTGAGAGTGTAATGTGTGTGATAATAATATAGGAAATGTCCTATTCCAACCTAATGCCCATATAAGGAAACACTGCCAGTTGGGAACTGACGGCAGATAATAGAGAAAAAAAAAATCTGTTAGTTTGTTTGAAAATGAAGTTCCAATGCTTTTGTAAAGAGTTGCCCTGTGTATGAATTGTGCTATACACATAAACTTGCCTGGAAAATCTTTAGACAAAGTTGCGCCACCTTCTTGATTGACAAACAAGCCCCCTCCTCATTGGTTTTAACATCAGGCAATGTTACCTTTAGTGGTTATGCCAGGGGAGCAAAGTAACACGTATACTTCTAAAACACAACGTTACATTTGTAGCAAAGTTCTGACTGTCGTCCAATATACAGTGCCTTGCGAAAGTATTGAAAGTATTGAACCTTTCAACATTTTGCCGCATTTCAGGCTTCAAACATAAAGATATAAAAATATTTTTTTTTGTCAAGAATCAACAACAAGTGGGACACAATCGTGAAGTGGAACAAAATTTATTGGATAATTTAAACTTTTTTAACAAATAAAAAACTGAAAAGTGGGGCGTGCAATATTATTCGGCCCCCTTGCACTAATACTTTGTAGCGCCACCTTTTGCTGCAATTACAGCTGCAAGTCGCTTGGGGTATGTCTTTATCAGTTTTGCACATCGAGAGACTGGAATTCTTTCCCATTCTTCCTTGCAAAACAGCTCGAGCTCAGTGAGGTTGGATGGAGAGCGTTTGTGAACAGCAGTCTTCAGCTCTTTCCACTGTTATGGCAAGTTGGTTAGCCTCAAGGACGCCAACTCACCCCCCGCTGTTCTATTCAATTAACCTGCAGGAAGGAACCGGTCTCCCCCCTGCACCGACAGACATGACGCAAATTACTATCTCACCTTTGCCCCTTTTACATTCTGCATGTCTATTGTCCCTTCTGTTTGCATCTCCATGGCACAAAGATTGTCTCTCACCAGGCAAGGCGCCCCGCCATCTGGATGCCCGTCTCAAACTGTGACCCCTCCCACCTTTTGTGGGCGTGACTGTCTTTCATGTGTTGCCTATGTAAACGGGGACCTGGGACTGGCCCCGGCAGAGCTCACGATGCAGACTGTATGTCGGCTCTCCGCATATATATGTGTAAAATAAATGTGTTTACATCTTTGATTTAAGACAAATACCTTTCCAGCTTTTTCCTTTATTGGGGTATGTAATTCCACATCAATTTGGCGTTGCTGACATGTCTTGGCCTGGGTTTTTTCGGCGGGGACGAGCGGTGCGTTCGGCCGACCTGGAACAAAACCAGCCTCCGCTCTATTTGGAGACGAAAGGAGGGCGCGCTCGTCCGGCGCATGAAAAGAATCTTTGGCCACACAAGACCAAAAAGAACCTGATTTGTGGTGAGTT